CACAAGTTACGACAGGATGGACAGCAAGTAATCCGCAGAGCTGGCATGCAGGTCATGCCAGCTGTGACCTGTCAGAGGGCCATATGTCTTGCCGACTAGTAGCTGTTTGTACCGCTGCGCCTGAGGGTCAACATCTGAGACATTCCACTGCTCCTCTGCATAAGACTCCATCAGAGTCCATCTGAAACATTGAGTGTACTTATTGCCCTGGAATCTGGATAGCAAGCTATTTTATAGCGTAGGCTTCCTGTCCTCGAAAACGAGACAACCACTTGCCGCTACTTCAGGCAACACCCGCATCAATGCTTCCCGGAATGCCAAATGCTGCGCACGCGCCGCCTCACCAGGATACGGGGTATACACATCGTCGTCGTCGTAGCCTGTGGAGGTGAACGAGAACACTGTAACCCAGCGTAGGGTTTTGAGCGTCGAGTGGGACGCGCATATGCGGTCGAACAGCGCCATGAGGGTGGGATTGAGCGCCCATGCTACAGGCTTGCTCGGGTCGATTGAGCCCTCAGGCATGTCGTCGATCGCATGGGAGAAAACGATTGTCAGTTCCGTGAGTTCCGGCGATGCATGGGTTGGAGACAGGATTTCATTGAGCATGTGCGTCAGGATCCATGGATGCTCGCCTTCGTTCTCGAGGTCGTCTTTTGTTTGATGCACTTCGAGGGTGTTCAGTGCCGGCCACGAGCAGGGCAGCGAGAAGGTGTTGATCTCCCCTGTCGACCATTTCAGTGGAGAAACAAACGAGGACATAACTCACGCATTGTATCAATGACCAGATGCTTCACCGTCGGGCGCAAGCAAGCCAAAAAAAGGCGATTGTGGGCACCAGGTCCGACTCCAGCCCGTACTCTGACATGGTCAAAGTATGCACGGAGGGGAGGTATTTCTTGAAGCTGGGATGGGACAGCAGCTGGACGACATTGCTGCTGAAATGCAACGACAGCGTCCCGCGGAAGCGATGCACCAGCAGAATGGTTGTATTTGAGGAATTTGGTCATGGGCGTGCGCAGCCGTCCACGGTCCACATCGTACTCTTTCAGACAGCAGAAGTATAGGTAAAGGCTTTTGGTGGACTCGAGCGCCTGGATGACCCACTCAATCGGCAGGTGCCCGACCTTCGTGACAGACACCTTGTCGAGTGGGCGGTCTTTGCGGCTGCGGAGGAAGGCGAAGATGGGCGCGGGAACGGCCTTAGGGGCGTGGTACCATGACATGTAGGATTGTGGCGTGATTTCTAATATGCGGACGTTAACCAGGAGGGTGAGAAACGCCAGCGACGCCTTGGGGATCTCGTGTCTGTAGTTGAACACGGGCTGCAGCTCAATTATGAGGTGGTGGACGTATGGCGCGAGATGAGGCGACTGCGCAAAAAGTGCTGCCACTGTGGTCCATGGGTCGGATTTGCTGTCAGGGTCGGGCTTGGTTGCGGGGTCAGCAATATTGAGCACGCTATGGAGGCGCTTTTGGCAGGGATGGACAAAACGGGACGCTGCGAGACAGAAGCTTTTCAAGGTTTGACTGTCGGCGACTGCGTCGACGATGTAGTCGACGAGTTCGAGGGGAATACGGGCCACGAGAGTCGAGGGTGGGGAAGACATGTCTTTTGTTGACTGCATCTGCCAGAACTTGCATTTTTCAAGAATGTTAAGTGAATGGTTGTTATCCACGTTGATAGGCTGTATCTGAGTCAACGCGAACGTCGGTGCGAACTCAACATGCCCACGTTGCGCGGTGAGATGGGCGTCGAAATGAAGGGCAGTGCGCCATCATTCATCCGGCGTTTCCAAATCCGGAGGTGCATAACGGCTTGGTTCTTGACCGCCATGATCCATCTTCCTACTAGTCACTCTGTCCAACGTCTCCGCGAATCCTCCGCCGCTTTCACTCGTCTGTGACGTAGATCTCATGGCTCGCGCTGCGTTACTCTGAGATTTGACGCCAGGTGTGTCTGGCTTGCGCTATACCTACCTCCCAACTGACTTGCGATACCTTTCCGAGTCCGGGAACCGGCCAACTACCCTCCACGCGGCCTCAACCCCGCTCTTCCCTCGCCAGCTCATGTCCCCACTTACCTTTCCGCGAAGGCTGGACAATCCCAGCGTCATGACAAGACGCGCAAAGCAACAACCTTACAACGGCGACCTACAATAGTAAATCGAGGATGCACAACGGAATTTACATGATGCCGGATGGAGTGTGTCTGCTTTTTTGAGTGCGTGCTCATCTCTTATGAGCTTAGTATCTGTTACTTATTTATGTCCTGATTCAGTGCTGGATGTACACTCCCTCTTTTCGAAAACCCTCACCGGAATCAAGCTGGCCCCAATGCATCATTCCACAGCGTCTGCCGTTTCGTCTAACGGACACCACTACGCGTCAAAACCCAACAATATTGCCCCAATCTTCTTCCTGGCTCTCTCCCCTGGGCCCCCAACAACACAGCAATATAGCGTCAACTCCGTCCATCCATCGCATGTCATCCCAAGCCGACTCAGACATCTCCGGACCCTCCATCGCGGTCACTTTCTGTCTACATAGACCAGGGGGACCTACCTTTTTACGTGCTTTTCCAACAGATACAACTTCCGTCGCTGGTACTTGGACTCCGAGTATCTCATATTAGTCCTAATGCTGAACTGAATGCCCAGAACTTCCGACCAACGACGAGCAATAGGGGACTCTGCTTTCGTCGGATGGTTAACGTGTCCCAGGCTGCGTCGCGCTGCCGGAGAAGACTTGTTGTCCGGAGGCAGACATGGCGGAACTATGGAAGGCGTGTCTGCTTGCTGCTTCATTCGCGCGTTCACTAACCCTCTTTTTCTCAGCCTGTTCCCTTTTGGTCTACCCAGCTAATGTGCTCCTCGCTCTGGTCCCATTCGCCACCCTCCAAACATGCACCAGACAGCTGTTCTTCCCACAACAGGCAGCCGAGTTGCTACAACACAAGATACCGCTGACTCTGCCACCTCTCCCGCTACCCCTCGTCTTTTTTCGCCCTTGGATACATCGACTCCACTTCGGACGGACATGCTCTTTCCATCGAACGGTCGACTCCTCGGTCGGCATCTAGCCTAATGGATATCGAAACCACCCCTCGTCTTTGTCGTGGATTCGGTACAATTTTAGTGGAATTTTGCCAGTGGCCGGTTATGAACCCATTGCTCTCTCCATTGAACGGTCAAATCCCTTCAAATCCGCACTGCACTATTTTGGGCTCAAACTCCTCGGTCGGCGTCTGGCCCAATTTCATCTCGAAACCAACTCGAAACTTTTCTCAATTCACCAGACGACATACCACGACATATTTCCACTCTTGCCTTCTTTTTCAATCCCAATTTTCGAAAGAACAATTCCCTTACCTGCTCCATCATGCCAGGCTTTGTTTCAATACCTACCGGTCTATTTTCTATATGATATTATGCCCTCATACTTATCTGTTTACTTTATACCCTACTGCCCTCTCATGTATTTATATACTTGTGTAATATCGGCATATCCTCTTCGTGTTTCTGGTCTTTGTGATGACTATATACTTATTTATATTGTTACTCCGAGTCTTTATACTATCACTATTAAATAACATGTTGACGCCGACAGTATATCGTAGATGGATCGCTCAACAAGGAAGTTCTAGTGTTGCCGTCGGTGCGGTGTGACACCGAATTTGGACTCGACTCGACAATGAGTTGGGCAACTCGGACACACGAGTCGAGCCGAAGTTGCACACCGCGGTGTGACAGGTGCGCACCGGCTTTGCTGATCCCTGCGAAAAGACACAGTCCAGCTTATAAATCGTTAATTGCCGAACGCTCGGCGTTTGGACGTGATGATGGTGATGAGTGATCATTGTCATCAAGATACTCTTATACACCAGTCAAGGGGGTATCAGAAAAAAAATAACGGAACATACGTTGGACTTTTTGTTTAAGCCCTTCCAGGGGACCCACCGACCGTGACTGTGATGTGACATTACCATATTAGGAAGGTAATTCACACAGTCATGTGTTCTGATAGCATCAAACTCAGTCAGTCCTCTGAATTTCCAAGAACATTAATAGAAATATAGACTTCTAGCTATATATATATCTTGTAGACAAAGTCCTGATATAGTCATTGTCTTACAAATCTCACTCCAGAGTACAGATATCCATCCCCATATGGTCTGATTTGTCACAATGTTCCATCTAATGATGAGATACTGAAAAATAACCACTTGTGAGATTGTTGATACTTAATTATGGATGTATAGTGCACCAAACAGTACTTGTAACCCATCTTAAGACAATTTTGACTTACCATTTCAGCCAAAAAAGTTTCTACCAACAAAAATTTTTAAGGGTCCGGAGGGGGGACCGACCGACCATCCCGGTTGTCACTTTTTGACACGTGACACCCCCTTGACACCAGTTCTCAGCGGATTTACACCAGTTTTCTGCCTCAATGGCACCTGGGAGTTGAGATGAAGGCTGATATTACAAAATGTAAGCATCCTCTGCACAGGTACGGCTCAAATCGACTGCTGGCTGTTTGTTCACGTGCAAACAGCTGTCAACTCGATTCACACTGACATGAGCCGGTGTGCAACTCGTATCAACTCGACGAATCGAGTTGATACGAGTTAGTCGCACCGCATCGACTTGGCTCACACCGCGGCAACACTACAAGGAACCCCGAAAAACTGTCCCACTGTACGGCAACTCTCCTGCCGAATATGGCATATGTACTAGGACCATCCTCATCTCCATTGCTCACAGCCTGCTCTAGCACAGACTACATCTGCCGCTCAATTCTCTGGTACTTATGCCAATGCCACAGCCAGGTATTACTGTAGGATTCATTTAAAACGCGGTCACGTGACTATGCAAGTCAGATAAATTGCTTCTTGTACAACAACAACAAAAACAAAAACAAAAAATAGTTAACACATAATACTTAGATCGATGCAAGGGAGGGAGATAAGTGACACTGGGTACTGGTACATATACGGGCTACACGGCATGCTCGCGCTCGGAGGGCAGCGCGTCGAAGTTGACCGTGCGCGTCTTGTCGGAGAAGGTCTGGAGGGAGACGGCCTCCTTGGTGTGGACTTCGTCGTGCGAGCTGTGGTCGTGGTCGTAGCCGTAGCCGGGGTACGTCTCGGTCTGCGTGACGGTGCGGATGCGGAGCGAGCTGTTCGCCTTGGAGTTGATCGTGTGCCCGCCAATCGTGTGGGTCGCGTCGCCCGTGCCGCGCTGCCCGCCAGTAAGCGTCTGTGTGGTCTTGGCAGACCAGGCGCGGCCCGAGGCCACGCGGAATATGATGAGCAGTGTGGAGACGACCTATACCCGTGTTATTATCAGCATCAAATCAAGCCGACTCGGCTCACCTGAATGGGCGACAGGCCCTGCAAGAACAGCTGCGAAACCGCGATCGACGTGGGCGTGTTGATCACGAAGGGGACAAGGAAGAGCAAGGCGAAGGTCGAGTAGATCGCGGCAGACTCGACGATCATCGCCGCGAGGGACGTGTACTGCGAGCCGTGGGTGGCGCCCATCGCGCGGTTGACCTGGGCACGGCAGAGCAGCAGGCGCGCAACAATCAACAGCGTCACGAGCACGTTGAGTGCGAGCGACATCGAGTAGTACGGGACGGTCCAGTTGATGCCCGAGGTGTCCCAGGGCGAAGCGGACACGGTGCCGACCTGCTTGAGGAAGAGCATTCCGAGGGCTGATTTGGATAAACATTAGAACGCAAGGCAATGACGAGAATCAAGTCATACCAATGGAGGCAAGGTACATGCACGCCGGGAGCGCGACAACGAGGTACCACGGTATCCTCGACCCGCGATAGATAACGCCGCACCTCCAGACCTAGACAACTCCGTCAGCCAAAAAAGGAAAAAAAAAAATTGAACACACATTGATGATGTCGCACATCCAGGTGAGCAGCACCATGATCACGTTCGCGAGCATGTCGATGGGCAGGCTGAACATGATATTCTCGTACTGGTTCGGGCCGCCCGGGATATTCCGGTTGTCAATAAATGACAGCTGTGTGAACTGGAAGAGCCCCGCCATGTAGAGTGTGCCGAGGACGTATATGGTGCTGATATAGCCGATGAGGATGAGATTGCGCCTTTCCGTGCCCTCGTCCTTGCTGCGGGCGACCCAAAGCAGCCGCGCCGACATGAAGAACAACACCGCCTCGATCCCATAGGCGATTGCTGCGAGAAACGCGCCTTGCAGCCATGTGTGCTCCGAGAAAATTTCCACCGCGGACTCGTCCGGCCGGTAGCTCCCAGTGGCCGCGCTCGCGTTGGACATTGCTAGACGTTGAACTTTGTTAACTGGGCTTGCTTGGTGGGTGAGCTTAGCAGTGGTTAGGCGGCGACCCCTACCAGACAGCACTCTATTGCTTATAAGCAGCCCCCGTCGGAACGTGGAAACACTGCCTTCTCCGCCGCGACCAATAGAAACCCACTTCGCCGATCGAAGCCTGTTCTGCCGGCAGCGCCGTTTCGGGGTATGCGCTTTCCACGGACATAATCAGGACGACTATCATGACAGGCGACGCATGTCGTTGTCGTTCTCGCGGGAAGCCAAAGGTCAATAGATAGATTCGGAGTCCAAATACAGCAGCTGCTCCCTGGCCAAGCCTAGTACATGAAACGGACAAACGCTTTATCCCGAAGAGCTGGTGGTGTCTTTGCGACTTGCTTTCTCGTCCTCGATCATCGACGAGTTGGACGGGGCAGCGTGGGAAATCGTCTCGAGCGGACCCGTGAACCAGTACCGCCCACCATACTTCGGGAAGAAGTAATACCCCACCGCGAGGAGGAGAATTCCGCCTACGACAACAACGGTATAGTTCATGCTTTGCGAGGTGGCCCCCGGAATCGGTGGGAAGAGGAACACGATTATCATGAAAATCATGTACGCCGAGGCGACGAACGATATCGGTGCGCTCTACACAACAGTCAATGTCACTGTTCAGATGAAAGGGGCAACACGGCTAACCAAGAGACCGAGGTTGAAAGGGCCTGGAATGAACTTCTGCCCACCGACCCATCGAGCAACAACTACAAGCTCTGTCAGCTGTGCCCCTGACGGGAGAGAAGGATCGCCATACTGGGTGTGGTAAAGCCAATGTACTGGCAGACGATTGACATCGTGAACACGGCCGTGATGGCGAGGGGCCCTGCGAAGGCTAACAATCCCAAGAGCAAGGTCATGAAAGCCAAAAATATGACAGCATGGACGGGCGTCTTGGTTCGCGAGTTGATGTTGTAGAGCAGCTTGGACAGAGGGAGCCCGCCGTCGCGCGAGAAGGCAAAGAGTTGGCGCGAGCCCGCGATGAGCTGGATTGATACATCAGTCAGGAGCCGGATAAAACTTGTCAAATATGACGACAACGGGAAACGGGGGACGGAGACGGAGAAACCGGACGTACATAGTCCATGCCTGTCATCCAGAGAGTGATGATCATGAACGCCCAGATGGCAAGGGTGCCTTCTTTGCCTACACTGTTGAAGAAGATCTGTACAAAGGCGACAAGTTGTTGAGATGATGCGGGGGGTCGAAGACACGGAACCCACCGTAGCCATAGGCTGCCCAATAGGATTCCCAGTCACGGAGTCCAGGTCATTGCCCATGTAGAACGCAAGAACTATGGTTACAACTGCCCAAAAGCCTTAACAGATGGACAGGGGAGGCAGGTGCTTTACTTACTCCAACCAAGCACGGAGCTCAGAACTGTCGCAGACATGATGGCGAATGGTACTGCCCGCGGCGCATTCTTCGCCTCCTCGCTGATGTGGACACTGGTGTCAAAACCCGCTATATCGTCCAACCTAATCAGCACAGCCACCCACACCATTTAAAATGAATGAACTCGCCAACAGTCCACGCCGGCGCCAGGAAGCTCAAAATGAATGCATAGCCATCCGGCCAGCCAGAAGCTTGGCGCCCATATCAATCGTAGAATCACAAGCAGATAGACGCGACACACTATTTTCGAAATGCCCAAATGCAAACGCCTTAGAGTTGTGTAGCTCTTTCGGGGTGGTCGCCGGCAGGGCGATGATTACGACAAGGAATAGACTGACATCGATATTAGCCAGAAAACCGGGAAGCACTGCGACATACGCAATATTAAGGAAGACGTAGAACCACTGGAGCCGGGCGATGATTTTCGTTGCGAGACTTGCCATGATGGCATGTGAGACGACAAGCGCGCAGAAGACGCCACTGTTCGGATCGCGTTAACAGGCGTCTGGGGTAAGAGAGCTACAAGACATACTAGAGCTGGCCAGTAGTCGCGACGAATGCCCCGTCGGTGCCGATGTTCGCGGCAGACATCACTTGAGTGGCCACTCCCCAGTCTACGCTAGCCATACCGGCGATGTACGCAGCGGTGTTAACATCTAAGGTTTCATTAGAACAAGCGTTGGAGTAGACGGCGATCCAGTGACGGCCCCGCGACGTACAACCAATGAGCCACGAGAACAAGTTCCGGTATTTTGGGGAACAAAAAGTGAAGGTCCAATAATATCTAACGGAAGGTGGGGGGTTAAGCAGGCGCTATTAACTAGAGGTATAAAACACTAACAAGCCTCCGGCGGTGGGCGCCGCCGAGCCCAACTCGGCCATTGCCAGCCCCACGACGATCAGGAAGCAGCAGCAGGTGAACCAGCCCCAGACCTAGAACGATGGCGATGCGATATGAGCGGCGTTTTAGGGTTCATGTTTTGTTCGGTAGACTCACCATGCCAACTAGACCGCCATAGGGCAGGGAGAATAGAAGGACGGCTCTATGATTGGGTTGAGCGCCAAAACGAAACGAAAGAAGCAATCCGCGTACGCAATAGACTGCACAACACCGACTATAGTAAACGAGAGGCCAAACAGCTCGAGTCTATGCAACGAAGCAGTGCGAATCGTCAGCGAGATCTCACGGGAAGCGGGGGGAAACCGAAGATCAAGGAGGTGCTTACCTGGAGAAGTCGCGTTTGAACTCCTGCTTGTAGCCCAGCCGCGCGAGAAGCTCCTCATCATTGAGCGAGGCGCTGGAAGGCTGTATTTGGGACTCCTTGGCTACAAGCTCGTCGGCCATGACAGCAGAACGGAAGAGGCACGAAAGACGACTGGCAGTGTGACGACCAAAACGTCTTATGGCCGCCCTTGCTGCCTAGTGTGGGAGCCTAGCCGCCATCGCCCTGTGGACTTGGGAAAATTGGAAGCACGCCGGAAGAACAGAAGCGCGCTTTGCCTTCATTGGCAGTCGCTTGCCTCCGCCGACCGCCTGTCAGGGTCGCGGCCGAGGACAAGAAGTGACGTGGCAAGCAGCTGCCTTGATCGCCGGAGCCATCAAAATGATGGCGACTGCCAAATGAAGCAATCGCGTGATGGCTGATGTTGATAACCTGCTTTCTGGACCCTGCACCGACGATGGACCACAGCCATGGCGTAGTATTCACTCCCCAGAGCGTGGCGACGCCAGAGCTCGACGTTGCGGCCTTCCTTGACCAGCCACAGCTTCGTGAGCGGGTCCACTATAATCCGGATTGCACCCCCACACTCACGCTCTGCCACAAAAGGGTACATTCGCATATACTGGGTTGACTTCGTCAACATCCGTCGCTGTCGAATCGTGCCTGTCGCGCACTTCAAGGCTCTCCTCAAGTCTAACCGGCCCGGCGTCAACATCGCCAAAGTCTGTCTTGGACTCATTGGTCTCCATGTCGCGCCTGGATTCGTCCCCGTTGGCGAGTACCTATACGCAATCGACCTCAAATCGCTCCGCCCTTGTCCGTTTGCGCCGGGGCATGCTGCTGTACTAGGCCAGTTTGAGGAAAAAACGCCATTGGCTGGGACTGTTGCCGTGGAGCTCTGTCCAAGAACGCTATTGCGTGGAGTCGAAAGGTACGTTTATCTAAGTTACTTCCTTTCATTTATCCATATTGTTTCCAGTAAAATCAAAACCGTGCATAAGACCGAATTTCTTGTCGGATTCGAGACAGAATTCATCCTGCTCGACAAGATCGATCCCGTCAACCCAGTCAATGTGCACGACTGGTCTGCGTCAGTCGGCCTGCTAGCTGGCTCCCGCGAAGCGCTTGTACTCGAAGAAATAGGCGACGCAGTGACCGCTGCTGGTATTTCGCTGCAAATGATCCACGCAGAAGCTGCCCCGGGCCAATACGAGGTCGTCACCGGCCCACTAACTCCCCTCGCTGCCGCCGACGCCCTTGTCTACACCCGCGAAATCATCGTCCAAATCGCCGCTAAACACGGCCTCCACGCGACATTCGTCCCCCGCCCATTCATGTACTCCGCTGGCTCCAGCGCCCATGCACACATCTCCGTCCACACCGCAAACGAGCAGAAATCAGCTGACGGCCTGTCTACCCACGAGTCGCAATTCCTTGCTGGTGTGCTGAGTCATCTGCGCGCCATCGTCGCGCTGACACTTCCCACCAACGCGTCGTATAAACGCATGACGGACGGCGTCTGGAGCGGGGGCACCTATGTCAACTACGGCACCGAAAACCGCGAGGCGCCGATCCGGCTGACTAACGCGACCTCGCCTGCCTCGCGCAACTTCGAAATCCGCTTCGTCGACGGGACGGCCAACCCGCATCTCGCGCTGGCGGCGATCCTGGCCGGTGGCCTGCTCGGATTCGATGCCCAGCAGAAATTGGAGATGCAGGATTGTCCTGGCCCGAAAAGCGCTGCGGAGCTGACAGAGCAGGAGCGCTTGGCGTTGGGAATTACCACGCGGATGCCGCTTTCGGTGGAGGAGGGCCAGAAGAGTCTGGAAGAGGACGGCGCACTGAAGGCCGTGCTGGGGACAGAGTTCGTCGAGAAGTACTTGGCTGTGAATAGAGTGAGTTTCTTTTTTTGCCTGTGGTTCCTGGACTGACGTTTGTAGACCCTCCAGACGTTGTTGGTGAATGAGGCGGACACGGAGGACGAGGCGTTGACGCGAGTAGTGAAATTTTATTGAGGACCTGCCAGTGTTTGAGTCAGCGGAGGAGAGCTAGAACTTGAAGTCTGTGTAGTGAATAGTAGCCGTAGATATTGAATGCATTTTTTCTTGTTCTGCATCTTTACTCTCTCGGGATCACATAGAAGCTACATACTAGGAAACGAGCAAGAAATATTTACAACTCCTACAAAGTTGGTGAAAATTGGTTGAAGTGATAGCACTTGGCACTCAATTCATAGTATAGTACTTATCATGGTTCCAACTTGTTAGCGGTATCGGGAAGGACGGACGCGCGGTGATGCGCGGTCCCACATGTGATTGCGGCCGGCCGGAGCCCGGGTTAGGGCAGTGCCGGAGAAGCGCTATAAGTAGCGGCGTCCGCGTGCCTGTAGGGCACGCTTTTATCTCCCCTTCGTCTCCCTTTGTACCCTCGGGTAGTGGTTAAGCTACTTGTCTGTGGAACTCGATCGGAGGCGTGCGGCCTGGTTAATAAGTGCCGATTTCTGACATAAAAGCGTCCGGGCTGGCATCCCTGTACCTCTGCTTCAACTGCTTAGCTTGGGCGACCTATCTGGACGACGGAATTATCCTGGACTCGGTCTCTTGCGGCAGTGGTGTCGGGCGCGGCTCTTCTTTGGCGCGACACACTCATCCGACGACTTACGGATTGGCTCGGAGGCTCAGCCGGGCGACGTGGGCGCTCAGGCTCACAACTGCGTTACGACTAAGCACGGCAGTACTCGATGGGTGGTGCGTGGCGCCAGATACTCAGACGGCTGCGGGTGTGGGTCGGATACGCGGGGCGCACTCAGCGAGGGGGCGGCTATCGCCAGTCTCGGATATCTGCGGGTTTCAGGCGTACTCGACATGCCGGTGGCGGATGGGACTACTCGTGGAGGGGGTGCGATTGGCGTCGGGTCAGGTTGGATGGCTGGGTTGCTCCGGAAACATCGACTTGGCGGGACGGCGACTTTTCAGTGGCGGCATGCTGCTGGTCTTCAACTCGGTCTTGGTCACGGCGCTGGTCTTGCGCAATACGGCCTGGAGGATTGGGTTTTCACCTGGGTTGGCTAGGCTCTGGGATGGGACGGGCTGGTACACCGATTCAGGGGTGCGTCATGGTGGGCGGAATTGGCTTGCCGGGACGGGTGGCGCTGGTGGCGGCGCAGGTTGATGGATGTGCGGAGAGTCTTAGCTGCGCAGGTGCGCGGTGGTCTGGTCTCGATGTGTGGTGGATGTGGACCGGCTGGATTGGTCGGTGGTCTTGGACTCGCAGGGTGGGGTGGGTTCGCGCCTCACGCGCGAGGGGGTGTGTTAGCGGTATCGGGAAGGACGGACGCGCGGTGATGCGCGGTCCCACATGTGATTGCGGCCGGCCGGAGCCCGGGTTAGGGCAGTGCCGGAGAAGCGCTATAAGTAGCGGCGTCCGCGTGCCTGTAGGGCACGCTTTTATCTCCCCTTCGTCTCCTTTGTACCCTCGGGTAGTGGTTAAGCTACTTGTCTGTGGAACTCGATCGGAGGCGTGCGGCCTGGTTAATAAGTGCCGATTTCTGACACAACTTATAATGTCGGATTCGCATTCTCGAAAACAAGCCGTCCACTCGCCGCGCTGCCCGGCAGTGCAAGCTTCAGCACTTCTTGAAACTCCAAATGCTGGATCCAAGAGGCATCCGGAGGATGCCGGACCCATATACCTTCCGCCACAAAGCCAAGGGAAGCGAACGAGAAGACGGTGATCCAACGTATGGTGCGAAGCATGGGGTGGGACATGCATACTTTGTCGAAGTTTTCCATGAGCGTTGGATTGAGCGCCCAAGATGCTGCCTCGCCATCAATCCTATGCGACAGGGAAATCGTCAGCTCCCAGAGCTCAGGCGACTGGCTGCTTTGAGACAGTATTTCGTCAAGGACATGTGTCAGAATCCCTCCGTCGATTTCGATTTCTTCTTTTTCCTGGAATACCTTGAGCGTGTGCAATACCGGCCACGAGCGGGGTAGCGAGAACCCGTTCATCTCTCCTACAGAAAACATGTTGATGCAGCTTGGAAAAAAAGAAGAGGTCACTCACGCAAATAGTCGATGACCAGGTGTCTTAAAGTCGGCGCTAGCAGAGCACATAGGCCAATCGTGGGCGCGCGTTCTGCTTCGAACTCATATTCAGAGATGGTGAGGGTATGCACACAAGGCAGATACGCCTGGCAGTCGGGATGTGCGAGTAACTTGGCGATATCACTGCTGAATTTTAACGACAGTGCCCCGGCCCCAGGGAAATCATAATGCTCGTATTCCATAATGGGGGCCAGCGACTGACCGCGCTCGACCACCTCAAGATCTTCTTCTTTCAAGGAACACAAGTCCAGTTCGAGGCACCGCGTGGACTCGAGGGCTTGAGTAACCCATTCAGCAGGGAGGTGCCTGACATTCGTCACAGACATGAGATCGAGGGGCCTGTCCTTTCTGTTGCAGAGAAAGGTAGAAATTGGCCCAGGGACTAGGTGGTACCATGATGTGTATACTGGTCCAGGGGAGAAGACAGAGAGGGTGCTGACGTTAACGAGGAGGTCCAAGAACGCCAGAGACTCGTCAGGGATGGCGTGGTCGTAGTTGAAGATAGGTTCCACACCAATCGTAAGATATCGAACGTATTGAGCAAGATGGGGCGCCCGCGCCAAGTGTTCTGCAGCCGCAGTCCAAGGGTCAACGTCATTCACGATGTCTGGGTGGGAGTCGGACTCTGGCCGGGAGACCTTGAGCGATGCGTGTAGCCGTTTCTGGCACGGATGCACGAAAACGGATGCTGCGAGACAGCAGTTGCTCAATGTTGGTCTGTCATCGGGTATCGAGGCAACGACTCGTTCGAGGAGTTCTAGCGGGATTCGAGCCGAAAGCGCTGAGGAATGGGAGGAAGTCGTTGGCATTTTTGCGCGGTAAGTAAGTTGTCTTTTCAAGTTTCGAGGTCGAGACTTATTTGGGCCAAAGCAGTGAAACGTCGTAGCTGCGTTGAGAGGCTGTATTTAAGCCAGCATAGATGTTGTTGTTGTGGATTGGCACATGCACGTTGGGAGGAACATAGAGATTGCCAAATGTGGTCGGATCGTGCCAGTCTGTGACACTATTCATCCAAAACCACGACTGTTGCAAGACCCACGGCTTTCGTTTCGACCGGCCGTGGACCTTTTGGATTTCGGACCGACCGCAAACGCATACCATGGATAAGCCATAACGAAGCTCTGGCTGAGAATAGTGGTTACAAGCAAGGTGGGGTTGCTTGTACTAGCCTGCCGCTACTGACAAGCTTCAAGTTTCATGGCACAAAGGAAGCTGCTTTCTCTCCATCCAGCAGACATCTGGGTCGATATTCTCGTTCTAGGCAACTTGGAGCAGCCCGGGGTCCCTCGCGTTTGAGAAACAATATCCGAAAGGTGTGTCGCCTTTTCACATACTCCCCAATAGCAACCTGCAGCTCACTTCTCACTTCTAATTGTGCTTTGTCTCTAGACTCGTCCCCCCATGCCTGTGTACCCGGCCCCATAGGTTGAGTGAGCTCAAAAAGGGATGCAAGTGGCTGCGCTATCTTGTAATAGCTTGCTTGCTGTGGGTGTGTGTTGTCGTCTGTGCGAAATACCTCTCCCAATTTAACTTATCCTTACTAGGCCGAAGGTTTTCATCAAGATTTCCCCGCAACCATACCCGTTGGCCGTCGTTTCTGGCCATTTCAGTCACCCTCATCCGTTCGCCTACTTGTCATCACGCTGTCCATATTCACCACTATTGAGGCTGTCTTCTCCCCAGCAAGCAAGATGAAATTCCGCAACTATCCAAGCCTTGCACAGCATTCAAATCCCTAGCCATGTGGATCAACGTTGATGTCGCTGTTCGCGCGCTGTAGCTGCTAGGCGGACGCGATGAGATTTTCGGCAGTTGGCAAAGGCGGCCCAGCTCTCAAGCTCGATGTTGCAACAGTGCATTGAAGCATTTGCCGGCGTCTTTATTGGGCTTATAGTGTGCAATACAAATCAAAGGCACAATGCACTACGGTGACTCTCAAAGAAACATCCTTTACTCCAGTCACAGCTTTCGCTTTTACTTGTTGTTTATACCTGTTAGTGTCTGTTTCATTGTTCTTTCAGTCGCGTTTGGCATTGTGAATATCGATCAGTCCCACCAACTCTTGGGTGAATGATGATGGACCTGAACATGCCCATAACCCGGTTACTCTTATATTAAGCAGATGTCGTGTGAATGTATGCACATGTTTGGCATCAGCTTTAGCAATTTATTTACTCCACATTTCCACTTTTGGGACCACTGCTGTTGAAACCCTAATTTGGTAAGAAAAGCTGTAAAGTCTAATTGGGACATAAAGCTGTAAAATCAAGATTTTACATCAAGTACCATAAACAAGTCCAATCTAAGGCTATTTGTGATGTTGTTCTTGGCTGTAATATCAGTATAGAGGGCATGTAGACCTTGATATTTCATTAACTCATGAATAAAACTGGCATATTCAGTCTGCAAAAAATTGTAAAACAATATTTGAAGCTGGGGCGTAGCCCCAGCCTGTCTAGTAATATCTATGTAGCTGCGGCATTGGAATAGTGATAGTATGAAAGGAAAGTAAAGAGGTAAATGGGTATCTAGTCGTCAGAACCAGAAACATGAAAAGGATATGCCGATATCGCACGAGCATGTAAACACATGAGAGGGGAGTTTAGAAGGGTAGTGAACATATAAGTATGGGGGGATAATATCAGAAAATGGACCGTAGGTAGTGAAACAAGCCTAGCAGGATGGAGTAGGTAAAGGAAGTGTCTCCGGAGTGAGGGAATCATCCTTTCGGAAATTTGGGCTTGAAAGTTTGCCGGGTTACAGAGTGTGAATGTCAAGGCTGCATCAGCCGAGGAAAGGAGGCACGAGTGGAAATATGTCGTGGTATATGGTTTGGTGAATTGACCCAAGTTTCGAGTTGGTTTCGAGATCCGTTGGGCCAGACCCGACAGAGGGGTTTGAGCACAAAA